AGTATCTAGAGGTCAAGCCGTCTGGTCCTGGAGATTTACCCAGTTGCATATTTTGAATGACACCTTCTATTTCCTGTTCAATTATTCTATGATTCAAAATTAATTTATTTTCTTGAGATATTTTTTGTAATCCATTTGTTTTCAAAAATTGGTCTAAGTCTGTTTCTTTCAGTGGCCCTTGAGTATATAATCGTTTAAAGTACCTCTGGAAACAACTTCTGATCTCTGCAGGGTTCTGTATGTTTCTTCCTTCCACTTCTAAGTTCGTAATTGTATTTAATTTTTGTCTCTTTTTCATTTGCCATGACAACAGTTTACCACATTTATTGGCCGACTCAAAGGTCTTTTGTCTCATTTGTTTAATTTTCCATTCTATTTCCTGATTCATCATTTTCATATATTGTACTTGGTATAGCTTTAACTCTCGCAGAATCTCTTGAGATTTGGGATTTACTCTCAATCTCTTTTCACATTCCTTTATTTTATCCATTATCTTGTCCTTCTTCTCATTTTGAGTTCTTTTCTTTATTGCATTCTGTTGTATTAAGAACCCTCTCATAACCGCTTTACTAGCGTCCCTGTCCCTTCCGCAGCTCTTCTTCATATTCTCCTTTCACTCGTGGGAACTCCAGCTTGGTAATGTTTTTGACCCTTTTCAACAAATCAGCCCCTTTTCCAAAGTCCAGACTAAACTCCATGTGGTATTTAAAAACATGTTTCAGAATCCCTCCAAGATTAAGAGCCCCCACAGCCCCAAACATCTCATGGCCCATTGCCAGACTTGGAAAGTCCAAACATCCCTGCATAGGGGGGTCTATCCAACCCCCCCATTTCCAAACCAGTCCAAACCTTATCTTTCCAAATCTGGCTTTTCCAAGTTCATTTGTCAAATCCAAAAGCTCATGTTCCTGCAGGGCCACAGCTCCCTCCATCTCTGGCGCCCAAGATTCAGCAACATCCTCTTCTCTCATCTGTTCTGTCAGGGCACACTCCTGATTTAATTCCTGGGTGGGCTCCATATAGTTTCCCACTGTTCCAGCAGGGCATTTGTTTTACAGAGAGCACACAACAGAGCTTCTGAATACATTGTCCTACAAGGTCACAAGTCTATTTCCCACGATTGTAGTCTGTAACAGCTGCAAGCTCCCTGGAATTAGTTACAGTTTCACAGTCTCCCTCTAGGGGGAAAACTTCTATTTGTTCTTTCTTTTAAGGACGAATCTAGCAACCAAGTTTCCTTTTTGAGATATTTTGTCGATATTTGTTCCTTTAAAATGCGAAAGGGAACAGTGAAATCACTATGTTTCTCTTCTTTTAGCTATCTGTCAAAAGCGTTTGTCTCTGGTCAATGAGCTTCAAACGTCAGTCCTGACACCCCGCTCCAGGATCAGGACGGTGGAAAATTACTTTACTTTAAACTCATTTCTGCAGGTTTACACAGTCTGAAAAAGATCCCCCTTCTTCTCCTGCTTCCAAAGCGGGGTTCAACAATTTTAAATGATGAAAGTTAATCTTTTAGAAGCGATTTTCTGAGCTCTAGTTTACGTTGTCTTTGCTTTATTCTGTCTACAAAGAAATGGAAGGCTGACTTCCTGTTTAGACCTTCCTGTTTCAGTGCCAAATTGAAGTGAATTTTTAAGTCCAATTCCTTTCTGCTCGCAAGTCCTTATTTAAAGTCCAATTGTCCGAAATTTAAGTACTCACGGGTGATTATTTTAGAAGCCAAATTGTCCCAGGAAAAAGGCAGCACTCTCCAGCAACGGCTATGCTGCTTCGCTCCACGGAAAAAGCAGTTGACTCTCAGCACCGCGCCACTTCCCCCTCTTCGCTTCGGAGCCTGTTAGTGGGTTCCTTTGCGGGTTGGGGGGGCGCTAAGGGTGCCCGCCGAGTCCCATGGTCACAGGCTTCATCCGCCTGTTATTTTTAAAAGGGTCCCCACTTCGCCGTAGCGGAAAAGACCCGTTTCGCGCAGAGCTAGTCCCTCCAGATCAGAGGGAGTCCGCCATTGCCGATGGCGCCACCCCGGAAGTCCCCTAAAAGCACTCACTATCTTGAAGTTGTCCTTCTCCAAATCTGGGTTCCAAAAGTCTGCAAATTCCTGCGTAAGAAAGTCAATCAAGTTGTCTTTCTCAAGTTCAGGTACAGCCCTGATTCTTAAATTGGTTTGCTTCTCCTTCAACTCAGTCATAGACAATATTGACCTGTGATCTTCAAGTTGTTTGTGTATCGGTGGTATCTTCTCTTCTAGAGCAGTTGCTATATCCTTTGCCTCTTCAGCTGTCTTTCGTGTCGAGATAGATTCCTGTAGTAATTTCTGAATAGTTTCTGTGTTGGTATTTACCTTCTGTCCCAAATTATTAATACTTGTGGTATTTTGGTCAATTTTGCCCGATGCTTCGAGCTACTTGTTTACTTATTTTTCCAAAGATTCGTTAATTTTACCAAGTGCCTGAGCCAAAGCATCTTCAGCTGCCATTCCTTTGGGTTTAGGTTGTGCCGATGAGGCTCCTGTTGGTAATCCAGAAGGGTCAGATGTCGATGCTCTTCACTGCAGCCCACCGTCTGTACGAAATAGTCTGCCAGACCTCGTTGCTTTTTCCTGTAGCAAATCTTTTTCTCCTTTCCATCTGCCATAACACTCTAGATTAGGTCCAAGATCAGTCTCACGATCAGAATTTGTTTTGAAGTGGAAAGTTCCCCTGGCCCAGCTGCTATTGTAACAATTTCAAACTTCCTCTAGGGGGACACAGTAACAGTCAAAAATGTCTTAAAGTAATTACCTTTTTTTCCTTTAGCCCCCCAATTCACAGAAAGGACGACAGTTTCAATCTCAATTGTTTTCTGTCACTTTAAAACCAGGAGAAGCCAGTCAGAAATATTGTATCTGACTTGTATCTCAGATGCAGAGTTAACTGTCAAAGAGTACTTTCAGCAGCAGCGCATTTCACAATAAGGCATTCTTACTGTTCACTGGCAACCCGTTCCCAGGTTTTTGAGCGGTGGATTTTAGCTTCTTTTCCTCTCTTTTTGCAGGGAAATACAGTTCAGACCTTTCCCCCCTCCTCCCCTGCAATCAAGGGGGGAAAGTCGCTTATTTGATGTTCAAATTATAATCCTTTTCCAGCGTCTTTCAAGGTTTCCGCTTACAAGTTCATTGCTTTACTCCATTTACAAAGAATGGAAGGCAGACTTCCTGTTTATGCCTCTCCGCTTCGGTGCCAAATTATTTCTTAGTTCCTTTGTTTCCGAAATTAGCCTACTCACGGATCGCTGTTTTGCAGCCAAATTGTCTCAGGAAAAAGGCAGCGCTCTCCGGTAACGGCTGTGCGGCTTCGCTCCACGGAAGAAGCAGTTGACTCACAGCACCGCGCCACTTCCCCGCTCCGCTCCGGAACCCGTAATCGGGCTCCTTTGCAAGTTGGGGGGGGCGCAAAAGGTGCCCGCCGAGTCCCACGGTCACAGGCTTCACCCGCCTGTGATTTTTGAAGGGTCCCCGCTTCGCCGTAGCGGTGCAGACCCGATTTCCACAGAGCCGGTTCCCTCCGAGTCAGAGGGAATCTGCCATTACCGATGGCGCCACCCCGGAAGTGATAGTTCCATAAGTCCATCCTGGATCATCTGGCGTATGTAGTGGTATTTAACCCCAATGTGTTTTGTTCTGGCTAGGAACTTCTCACTCTGCGTCAGCTTCAGGCAGCTTTGATTGTCCTCCAGCAAGCTGACAGGCCCTTTTCTCACCAACCCAAAGTCCTTTATGAGTTGATCAAGCCAGGTGATCTCTCTGCAGGCTTCTGTTGCTGCAACGTATTCTGATTCTGTGGAAGATAATGCTACACAGCTCTGTTTATAACTGCCCCATGCAACAGGTCCATCACCAAACATGAAAACATGACCACTTGTTGATTTATAATCAGCATTATCCCCAGCCCAATCCGCATCAGTATACCCAACCAACTTAGGGTCTCTGACGGCTGGTAACTTTAATTTACAATTCATGGTACCCTTTAAATATCGCACCACCCTCTTTACACCTGCTCAATCATGCTCAGTGGGAGAATTCACTTTTCTGCTAAGAATCCCCACAGCATTAGCTAAGTCAGGTCTACATGTGGTAACTAAATACAAAAGTTTACCAATCGCCGACCTGTAGTCACTGTTGTCTGGCAACTGCTTCGAATCCTGCTGATTCTTCAATAAGTCAGTAGCCATCGGTGTAGCAACTGCATGTGCTCAGTTAGCTCGTGGATCTTCTGTCTTTGGCTGAGAAGAAATGAGCCGTCCTCTTCTCTTTCCACCTGGATCCCGAGGTAGTACTGGACATCTCCTAGCTCCTTGACTTCCACCTCTTTGCTAAGGTGTTTTGCTATTTGTGTATAGTCTTTCTCACTTGCTGTGGCAATAATCAGGTCATCAACAAAAGCTAAGATATATGAGAATTGTCCATTATTTGACTTACTGTACAAGCATTTGTCAGTGTCGCCTTGCTTGTACCCAAGTTGCGTCAGCATTTTATGCAACTTCTGGTTCCAGGCTCTGGCAGCCTGTTTGAGTCCATAAAGTACTTTCTGGAGTTTGCACGCTAAATGTGCCTCATGTGGTTTTACAAAACCCTTGGGCTGTTTCATATAAATTTCCTCAGAAATCTGCCCATGTAGAAAAGCGGTAGCAATGTCTATGTGCTTCACTCTCATTTTCTTGGAGGCTGCAATGCTTAAAAGCATTCTTACGCTGCTGTACCTCACGGTTGGTGCAAAAACTTCATCATAGTCTTCACCAAAACGCTGTGAAAATCCCTGTGCTACAAGTCTAGCTTTGTAGCGCTGCACTTCTCCTTCTGACCCCTTCTTAACCTTGAAAACCCATTTACTGCCAATGGCCTTCTTACCGGGAGGCAGCTCAGTGAGTGTCCAGGTCTTGTTCTGATGCAGTGCATCCATCTCCTCCTGCGCCGCCTTCCTCCAGAGACTGGCTTCTGCAGCTGGCATCTCCTGTATCTCTTCCTAAGTGGAAGGTTCCTGCGGAAACGCTGACCCTGCAAAGTAGGACAACTGTAATGGTGCGACACGTCTGTTGATTCTGGACGAGCGCCTGACCTCTGGTTCTGCGACCACATCAGCTTCCCCATCCTCCTCCAACACAGGCATGTCCCCATCTGAGTCCTCTTTGTCTCTGGTGCCGCCAGGGTTCTGGTCCTCTGCGTCTTCTGGTGCGTCTCCTGTAGGGGGCGCTGGAACACTTGAAGGAAGATTATTACTTTGTGGGGTCTCAAAAGGGAAATATACAAACTCTTGAGTCCTTTCTGACTCATCGGAAGAGTCCACAACAGTGTTCTTAGTGTCTACTTTTCCATATTCATCAAAATAAACCGCATGGTATGCATTTGTCTTACCAGTTTGTAAGTCCATAATTCTGTATCCTTTGCCTCCAGAGGCATATCCCACAAGGATACCTGCTTTTGCCCTGGAGTCAAGCTTGTGTCTGTGTTCCTTGGGCACGTGGAAGTAACACGGACTTCCAAACACACGTATGTGCGACAGATTGGGAGCTTTCCCATGCCAAAGTTCAAATGGTGTGCGCTCTGCTCCTTTTGTTGGCAGTCTATTCTGCAAATAGACCGAGTGTACACTCCTTCGACCCACAGCTTCTGTGGCAAACATGCATCCTTTAGCATGCACCTTGTCATATCCATAATGGATCTAAACTTTCTCTCAGCTATGGCATTCTGCTGTGGTGTGTAAGGAATTGTGGTTACGTGTGCAATTCCTTCCTTGGCCAGGAGAGCCTGCATTTCATTTGAGCAGTACTCACCTCCATTGTCGCTCATTAACACAGCTGGAGCTCTCTGGAATTTATTCTTGACCATGGCAATGTATTCCTGGAGCTTGTCCACTGTCTCACTCTTCTCTTTGAGGAAATATACAACACAAAATCTTGAAAAGTCATCCAGAAATATTAAAATATATCTATTCTTTCCCAGTGAGGGAACATTCATAGGTCCACATATGTCAGTGTGCACTATGTCAAGCACTTTGTTGCTTCTTTGTTCTGCACAACGTGGAAATGAAGGTTTTACAGCCTTCTCAGTAATACAGCTTACGCACTTTGCTGGAGCTTTGTTGCTCTGCTTTACCTGCAAACCTCTTACAAGTTCTCTTTTCTGTAGATCCAGAATGACGTTGGTGTCTCTATGTCCAAGCCTTCTGTGCCATAGGTCCAGATCTGCTTCATTCTTCTGGCTGGAATGTGCCACTTTTGCAGACTGGTTCTCTGAAAGATCAAGCTCATATACACCATTTATTAGCTTTGCTTGAGCAACCACTTTGCCATTTTTAGTCACCTTGCATTCTCCATTTCCAAATGTGATCTGGAAACCTTTCTTGTCCAAAGTGGACACGCTGATTAAATTGCAGCTCAGCTCTGGTACGTACAAAACTCTAGAGATTGTGTTCTCAATGCATTCATTGTTTATATTGCATTTCAGACTCATGGAACCTGCACCTTTTGCTTTAACAATGTTGCCATCTGCAATCTCAATTTCAAATCCTTCTTCATCATTTATCTCATTTATCTCATTAAAATAGTCCTTTTTATATGAAAAATGTGAACTGGCACCTGAATCTAAAATCCATTTATTACGTTTATTTTCACGATTCTGGACAGCTAAATTCCTTTCTTGCAGTAACCATGTGCATTCACATTTCCCCTTCTTTTCCCCTTTTGGCTGAAAGGGGTGGGGTTTCTTTGCTTTAGGAGCCCTGCAATTCTTTGCAATGTGTCCTTCTTTGTTACAATTGAAACAAATCACTTTCTTAGGCATCTCTTTGGACTTTGTAAATTGCCTAGATGCATAACTACTGTCCTTGATTTTAGCATTTCTCACTGGAGATTCAGCTCTATCTATGCATTCTTTTAAATAACCAATCAAGTCTTTAAAAGTCAGATCTTGTCTATGGTCCATCAAACTTACAAATGCGCTAAAGCGTGGTCCAAGCAATGATAACAAAAATGCTATCTTTGTATCTTCATCAAAAGCTTTGGGAGTCAGATCAATTCTTTGAATAATCTCAGTAAACTTGTTGATGAGCTCTGTGAATTCCTCTTTTGAATTCATCCTCACTCTGGTTAATTTACACACCAAGTTTCTGAAGCAGTTTATGCTAGATTCTCCATACACGCGCTCAATATCTCTTAAGATTTGAGATGCATCATCTGTACTATTTATTAATGATAGCTGCTCATCACGAAGTCCACTCAAAATTATGTGTCTAGCTTCACTGTTCATGCGTTTCCAAGCACTTATCTTGGCTAAATCTCCCTCAGTTGTCCCTGTAGGCTGAGGCTTTAAAGCTTCCAAAATGTGCTTATAATCTAAACATGCTATCAAGCGCTGCTTCCAGTGTATGAAATTGTATTCATTCAGCACAGGCATTCCTAGCTTTGCATCACTATCAAAAGCTGCTCTAGCCATCTTAAAATCCAAAATTTGAAAATTCTTCAAAATTTCAAAATTTCTCAAAATTTTAAAATAAAAATCTCAAAAATCTCAAAACAATTCTTCACTGCCTTGGGTCACTGTGAACTCTGAGGGAAGGGGGGTTGTTTAATCCCCACTGCACAATGGAACAAAGGACCATGTGCTTACCAGGAAGTTAACTCAGAAAAATACTACTCAACTCAAAATCACAATCCAACGCAATCCTTCAAAAATACGCAGAAATATGCAATACTGGGCCCATAACCCTTTGTGGGAATGTTCTGGGGTGCAGGAGAGGATATATTGTGGGATTATATCCTAATCCAACTTGTGCTAACAAGTTCCCAAAATATCAGCAGAGTTTATAGACATTCCCCATTAAGTTCGCAACGGTAACGCTTGCACAGGTTCGCTAGAACCTCTATAATAATTACTCTGGTAATTTCCCTTTGTTCCCTCTTAAAATACAAGACACAACACAGTCTTTATAAAAGTATAAAAGAGTTTACTCACGTTCTGTTCACAATATGATCCCAGAAGGCAGACAGCTTAAAAGGTTACATACATTCAGAATCTATCTTATAGTAAGATAGTCCTATCTCCTCTCTTGGCTGAGAGCCAAGAGAGCATCCTTAGATGTTTCCTCATCGAAGGAAGATGAGCAGAGAGAGAGAGAGAGTGGCTGCCTGCCCTGTGCTTTTATCATTACCTGCACAGGTGAGGCCACACCCACCTCTGGTCACATGCGGAGGAAGTCCGTCCCCAGGAAGTTTACCTGCTTGCTGGACAGACATCCCTCCCCATGTTCTAACATGTACACTCTAGGAATGTTGTCATTGACTGCTCCTGTGTTTACATCCCACACCATGCTCTCCAGATCCATCTTTCCAAGGGAAAAGCAGCCTTGACCTTCTCTTTTCCTGGACACTCTTTGTGCACTGCCCTGTTGTCTGTTTGTGAGTGTGTGTGTGTGTTGTGCTGCTTTTATGGTATTTGTGTTGCTTTCTGGATGCTTTGTTTCAATAGTTCTGACTGACACTGGTTTAAAATTCTGTGCATTGTTGTAAATATATGGGGGAAATTACAAAAAGTGGGCACCCAAAGTGAGGACAAGGCTTTTCTATGTAATTTTGGAGAAGGGGGAGAAATATCAGTGCCAGTTGTGAGCTGTTGGTCTGGGCTGTGCTTGTAACATTTAGAAGGCAGTTGCTGGTCTTTTGCAATCTCCACAGAGATGGGCCCCAGGAGATGTCTTCAGCATCATTTCCCAAGAGCTTGAAGTTCAAACCAAGCAGCCAAGGTGGGGAACCTGTGGTCACAGGGCTACGTCCCATTTCTCCACCTGGTCTTGCTTCAAGTTAACGGACAAGCGTTGCTCCATCGGATGCCCACAGACAGCAAAGTTGGGTGAAGCAACTGCCAGATGCAGAACAGTGAACTTGGGAATGAACCCGGATCAGAAGGTGATATTGGGGGACAGTGGGTGGGAGTGGGGAGCAACAAGGTCAAAGACATCCCTTTCCATGCAAACAGATTCAGTGATGGAGCAGGAGAAAAAGAAGGATGATTTGTGGGATGTTAATGCTGTGACCCCATCCATTTTATGCTCAGGCTCTCTCTATATCTTAAAAACAAACCCATAACTCCTAAAGACACCAAAGTCTCCGTTCACCTTCAAGGAAACTGAATGCTGGGCAAACACTGAAACTCCTGGGTTTTCTCAATGCTGAGCAATTTGGGTGCTTTGTAACAATATTTTCAAGGAATCCTAAAATGTGTTATTTGCCCCTTTTCTCCAGCTCCATCTCTTAGCCCTGTGACTACATGTTCCCCACCTTGACTGCTGGGTTTGCCCTTACTGTGGGATTGCAAAAGAGAAGCCAGAAACATCCTTCTCTGTGCAGCTGCCCAAGGAAGGGGGAAAGTTGGAGGGGAGACACAGAGAAAGGGGCAGGAGGAGGGGCAGGGAGACCCCAGGGAGAGGTGGGGGCCTACGATTTGAGAAATGCCCTTGTGCAAAGCCATGTTTGGAAAAGAACCACAAAGCCTGGATGGCACCACTGACTGGCAGAGAGAGAGAGAGAGAGAGAGAAAGGGTCTGAGAGCCTGACTAAAAGAAATACCCTCAACCCAGCAAACGTTTTCACAACATGAACCAACACAAAGGTTTCCAATGCTTGCATTTATTAAAAAGAAGAAGCTAAAGCATTTTTGCAGGCAAACCAAATCCAAGCTCCAATCCTGAGCCCATTTACTAAGGCAGTGTTTTTCAACCACTGTTCTGCGGCACACTAGTGTGCCGCGAGATGTTGCCTGGTGTGCCATGGGAAAAATTGAAAAATTCGAAAGATTAAAAAAAGAAAATGTCAAATTTTCGCCCACTAGGCAGGCGCCGGACTGTGTCCACCCTATTTTCCATCCATCCTGGGTGGGGATCAGATCGGATGGGATCGGATGAGAGTGGACAGGCGGTCCGCTCTCATCCGATTCCCCATAGAGAGCAGCGGGGCTCTGACATCTCCCTCTCCGCACACAGTGGTGGTGTGCCTCGTGATTTTTTTCATGAAACAAGTGTGCCTTTGCTCAAAAAAGGTTGAAAAACACTGTACTAAGGAGTATGCACCCACTGGCCCCAGTGGGGCTTACTCCTGAGTAGACAGGCAGACAGGACAGCTCCGTCTTGACTCCTTCCCAGCATCGCCTTCAGCAGCATCAAGCAAAGCTGTTTCTTCACCAGCAGAGATGGGGGTGCAGTCAAGGCAGCTGCACGTCAGAGGAGAGCAGGGTGGTCTTCCTTTCACCAGAAGTCTTGCGCCGGAAATCTGCAGAGTTACCCACTCCCTGTGAGAGAAAACACTGTTAAAACGGGTGTTGGTGGTGGTTCTGAAAACCCAAACCAGTGACTCCAACTGTTGTCAGAGCTCCAATTGCACACAGAGGGTCTGTTTTGCAGAGGGTTGGACTAGATGACCCCTTCACTCCCTCCCAAGGCTACATTTCTATTCTATGATTGTAGGAGAGACCTCTGGGCATTTCTTGTATGCACTTGGGTGGATTTGAGCAGGGCTTGGCTGCCATACACACTTTTTTTCTAATGTGGTTCTTTTTCCGTCTTCTTTATGTGAACAGCAACCCCAGGAGAGGACACATTAGAGCAGATCATTGTATTGGTGCGTGTTGGTGTGCATTTAACCCTTTCCTAAACAGCCTCGGTCCAGTATATCTGGAGGAGTGTCTCCAACCCCATCGTTCTTCTCCGACACATCGTTCTTCTGGTGGTTCCCTCACTGCAAGAAGCCAAGTTACAGGGAACCAGGCAGAGGGCATTCTCGGTAGTGGCGCCCTCCCTGTGGAACACCCTCCCACCAGATGTCAAAGAGAACAACAACTACTAGAACAACTACCAGAAGACATCTGAAGGCAGCCCTGTTTAGGGAAGCTTTTAATGTTTGATGTATTACAGGATTTTAATATTTTTTGGGAAGCCGCCCAGAGTGGCTGGGGAAACCCAGCCAGATGGGAGGGGTATAAATAATAAAATTATTACTTTTTATTATTTCCCTTCCAACTCTACAATTTTGTGATTCAATAACCATCTTCACAGGGATGTTTCACACAGGTTGCCTTTGCTATTTGAGGAGGGTCAGCGACTGGGCCCCCACCCTCTCATACCACAAAGAGCTGTTCTTTGAGCCAAGGGAGGCTATGGGGAGTTGTGGCTGAGGGGTCAGTGAGCTTTCATGGGGGCAGTAAGGGGAGAGGAAAGGGTTGTCACCCCGCAATGTGCACACTAATATTGTTCCAACTCACAGTGGATGTAAAGATTAAGAGAGAATTGGAGTGGGGGGGGGACAGAGAGATGAGTCTCATGCATTCGGGGTCTTGATACATCGCTGACACATTTTCGAGGAAAACTAAGATTTGATTTAACTCACCTTAACGGCAACACACCAAGAGACCACACCGAAAGCGTCGCCTTCGGGGTGGCCGGCACCTAAGAATTTGCAGTACCCCTTTCTGCAGTGAACATCTCAGAAGGCAAATACGCTGGCCTCTGGTGAAATCTGGAGGAAGAAAAAGAAGACTTTGAAGGCTCTGTCTCTCAGGACTGACCTTCTACAGCTTCCACTTCTTCCACTATGGCCCCGCTGGCTTGGAGACCCAGAGGGCACCAGGTTGTGGAAATCTGGTGCAGGAAGAATGCAGGGCTGGAGCAGAGATTCAGTCCCTTCTGCTGCCTCCCTGGACCTTCAGGACAGGGTCTGAGCCAAGGTGGTAGGGAAGGCTGCGTCAGAGTCACTGGCTTCCCTGGGCGGCCACTGGCAAACTGGGAGAGAGAAGCCCCCTTGCCCAGGAAACTGGCCCGTTCTTTTGTCCACTGCAAAGCTGAGTTTGCTGAAGTGCATTATTGCAGATTTGTAATGAAGAGTTTCCGTGGATCACATACATGAGGTAATAAGAAGAGACTGGCTGGTGGATCTGGCCAAAGGGGACCCTTCAAGACCAGAATCATATTATCTCAGGGCAGGGGGCCCATCGAGTGAAGCATCCTCTTCTCCCAGCGTTCACCTGGAGCCCCATTTGGGATATTCTCCAGGAGGACAGAGGGGCAAGATCCCACCTCTTTGGGAGTCACTGCATGTGGTGCTCAGAGGCAGGTTTAAAAGGAGTAAAGCGGAGAACTGTGAAGCTGCTCAGAGAAGAAGCATGTGAGAAGAAGGCCTTACCTGGAGCCACCAGCATCAAGAAGATGATGGTAACAGAGAGGAGACAGAAGATCTTCATGGCTGGAGGTTGGTGGGAATCATGGAGGTACCAGAAGCCAAGTGGAAGAGCAGTTGACAGGGGAAGGAGAGGTCCCTGTACTTATAGGTGGCTGGAGGCCTGTGGAAATCTTGTGGGATGCCAACCGTTGTTTGCAGGATGGATGTGGCAAGCTCTGAGGGGCATGTGCCAAGGAGCAACCAAAGACCACAGAATCATAGGTTCACAGAAGGGACACCAAGAGTCACATAGTCCAACCCCTGCAATGCAGGCATCACAGCTATAGCATCTCCCTGCATTGGAGAAT